CATATTTAGAATCCAACTTACAGTTTCATATCCTGCTCTTCCTCACCATCCTGCTGCCCCTGGGTCTTGCTCTATCGCCCGTACCCCTGCAGTGGTGCCATCATAGCTCACTGCAGCCTCAATTCCTGGGCCCAAGTGATCTTCCTGCCCCAGTCTCCCAAAGTGCTGGTATTACAGGCATGAGCCACCATGCCTGGCCTGTGTCCTGTATTTTTTGAAGTTTTATGAGCATTTATCTATGTTACTATAAGAATGCTCATAATACTGTTATAGATTATGTTGTAATATAATCAGTGTAATAGTTACAACTTTTACATTTTACAGCAAAGATAGTATTTGAAAATGTTCCCAATGATGGTATAATTCGAGGCTAAAAGGACATATTATAATTTAAGTATTTTATCACTGAGTATATCAGTTGTTTGAAAGTTTCACAAATAGGAATAATTTTGTGGAGAGCATTTTTGTCAAGTCTTTGAGACAGTTAAGTTGTATCAGAAATGTCACTTGAACTCACCTCATTGGTTATGGAGCTATGATGGGAAAGCTTTTTAGTGTCAGAGCAGATGGTAGGAATACATGGACGTCATTACCCAAAAGAGAATAAGACTCTGAGCACCTACTTTACTTAAAATGTATGTACTGAGGAACTGTTGGGGAAGGCAGAGATCTAGTTGTTTTCAGAAGGCATTTGATAAATATCTGCATGTCTTTTATTAAAAGCTAGCATTAAGGGTAACTGGGAGAAGCTGATTATCTAGTAACTCTAGAGGGGAATGGTAAAGCACAAAGGAGTTCCCGGAATTTGTTTGACTCAAGTTATGCCTGCAGAGTAGCCATGTCTTAGCTTACGTTGAACCTAGCAAACTTCTTTGCTTATAATCAGCTTTTCATTGATTTGAGTGGTGTGTTTGGAATTGAATTATTATTATTTATTCAAATCTAGGAACTAACAAGTAAAGATAAGTTTTGGTTCTGTGCCTATGAATTCACTATGCAGAGTCTATGTTGTTACTCAGTGTCTAAGACCCAAGCTTTGGTTGCCTTCCCAAAATGCTAATACAAAGGCTGTCATAGTTACATAGTTATCCTTAAGGAAGCCAGTGAGAAACTTACTGGGGAAAAAAAAAAAAAAGAAGCAGCAGCAGCCTGCTAGCGGAAAAATTTAAACACATTACCCAAAATGGCTGCAAGTAAACGCTTATCCAAGAGCTACATTTCTGAGAGCTGTTTGAAATAATTTATTTAGACCTGTAAGAAGATGAGTTGGCTTTAATTTACTCTCTAGAAACTAAACATCGTATAATACAGACTCTAGTCTATAATGAGAAGGGATTTTGTATTCAGGAATAGGCTAAAAAATATTAATCCAACTTTTCCAATTTGCATTACTTAAAAAAAAAAAAAAAAAGAAATGTTACCTTTCTCTGTGTAAATCAAGTTGAAATGTTTCTCTAGCTAGAGTTGATGTCATTGTTCGGCTGCTTGTTTGACCTAGTTAATGGAACTTACATTTATTGCAACCTTCCCCTCCTCACCTCATTGTGAGACAGGGGTTCACAAGTGGCCGGTGGGCTGCTTTAACTAGTTAACTAGGTAATTAGAACAGCATGTGTGTGACAGCTAGTAGTTTAAAGTAGTAATTCAGCTGTGTTTGAAAAGATTATTCACCCTTTCATTTACTCATTTCTCTATTTGTACTGAATTTTACATGCAAGTCCACAGTTAGCCTTCTATGTCAATGCCTATAATTGACTGTACTTGTTACATAATTAGCAACTGTGCCTTGAATTGAAACTTTTTTATCTCTTATTTTACTGATAGCCAAGAAGCAGGTAGATTTTCATGTTCTCTCTGGAAGCTTTCATGGATAGCACAGTCAGTCAATCACAGGATATCTCTATGACAGCTCTTGTCACATTTATTTAATGGCACTTGGCAAAACAATGAAAATTAATAGCTTATCTAAACAAGCAGAATTAAAGCTTTACTTTATTTACAAGGGTACTTCTTACTGTTTCAAAATAAATTTTATTTTACAAACGATTTAAAATTTCTAGAATTCAAAAAGACTTCTAATGAAAAAACATTTTCTAGTTTGTACATTGATTTTCTAACCTTTTGTCCACTTGGGGACCTGAAAAAAAGTGGTAGTACAATGTTGGGCTTCTTACTGAAACAGTGATTTCCTCAGCTTTTTTAAAAAAGCCTGTTGTATTTTACATTCAGTTTCATCTTTTGTGTGAATTCAAATGTGCTGGATTGCATACTACCGTGTTTTTATTTAGTGAAGTAAACTAGTCTCTTCCTTTTCTCTTTGTATGAAACTTTTACGTTCACCACTTCTACTCCAACCCATGCAAGAAATGGAGATGTTAAAATACAAGAAAATAATGCAGAATAAGAAAGGAGAAATTCCACTTGGGTTGGCCTAATAGACTGTTGCTAAACCTGCTTTACTGAAAAGTCACCTGATATATTATACTAGGATGTATCACCCTTCAGTAGTTATTTTATTGGGAGAAAAACATTTGCGTTTCCAGTTCAAGATGTAAGGCGCATCTAAGGAAGAACTACCACAAAGCCAGCAGAGGGAGCACATCATGTGTTTGCTGGGTTGTCTTGAAAAATATGCAGTATTTTTTGAAAGATTCTTGACCAAAGTAACTAAAAATAAACAAGACGATTTTTTTCCAGTGTGGTTTAAAAATCAATATTAAATAACAAACGAGAAGAAGAAAGATTATTTGTCAAAAGCTGATAATGGATCTTCTCCCCAAATAGGAACTTCTACTGGGCATTTTAACAAGGTCAGGAGTTAGAAACTAGCCTGGCCAACATAGTGAATTTTCATCTCTACTAAAAATACAAAAAAAAAAAAAAAAAAAAAAAAGAAGGTTGATCTATGCAAAAGAGGAATTAAGTTGAGCCCTCAGCAAGAATTGTAGCTTGTTCATTGAATGGTATTTATTATACCATAGGCCTTTCTGATTAATACTTCCAATTTGACTTTTAGTTTGATAAATACAATTGTTCTCCTGCCACCCCCCAAAAAGGGTTTTATTTTTTATTTTTTTCTAAGCATGGAAGTAACAGTGCATGAGAAGGGTTTTTAACAAAGCGTTAACAGAAGATTCCATATACAGGATTGTTGATGGTTGCCTTGCATCTAACTTGTACTGTTAAATAGTCACAGTTTACTGGAAATTTAAGTTTTACACTTTCTACGTCTAGAAAGTTGATTTCCTGTCTGCATTTCTTTCTTGGTGGCTTTTTTGATGGATGGGATTATGGAAGTTTTATACATGCATTAAAGTTCCTTTTCCTTGGTGAACTACAGCTGAAGTGCGTAACTCAAGAGCAGTTGGAAAGACTTAAAGTGCTTTTGCTTAAGAAAGTATCTTCACATGTGACATCCTGAATCTCCTATTATGTTTGTTTACTTTGCAGTCGTATTTTCAAAATACGTAATCATAAGCAAGGCATTTTTCTCTAGACCTCTTTTTAACAGAGGGTTCCCTCCTTATGCTGCTATAATTTCTCTTAGTTCGTGGCTTCTAAGCAACCAAGATATTACATGGACGGACATGTATGTGCAGCATTGATTGCGTATTTTAGCTTTGAAACTCTTAAAAATAATCCTTAAAAAGGGAAACTTAATTTCTTAGGTGCCCATGTTCTGAGTTATCAGCACTGTTTTTTATTTAGACACTGACAAAATAGTAAACTTATGTTGCTTAATTAGCGTATGAGAGATCCTCATTAATGTAATCCTCTTATTGTACTTAATACAAATTTCTGCGTTTTCTTTTTCTGTAATATAAACTGTTGTGTAAACAGTATTGAGTCATTCAAGAACTCAGCAAACACCACTAATCTACAAAAGATGCAGAGTCTACCTCATATCCATGTTTTAATTTTCTAGAAATTGTTTAGGGTGGGAATTTCTAGAATGGTGGTGTATGGAGCTTGGTTGACCTTAGTGAAGAAACCATTTAGTTAAAATTATTAAACCTTCTTAGTGAAGAAACCATTTAGTTAAAACATTCAAAGTTTCTGGAACTTGTCCTAAGGGTACACAGCAAATGGAGAAATACTTTCAAGAAAGTCTGCTAAATCTTGGTAAGAACAGGAGACCCTGTGGCATTTGAGCCACAACCAGCTCCAATTCACTACCTCTCCCATCTCCATGTTATGGAAGGTCTACTCCAGGAGAGTACAGCCAAGAATTCAGGATCCCCTCTCCCCTAGACTCTTGAGTGTACTCTCCCTGGCTAAAGACAGGATAGAATAATATTGTCCCTGAAATGTGATAGCAGTTTCCAAACCCATTTCAGTAGTAAAGGGTGAAAATCTAACTGGCTAAGGAAGCTTAAGCACTACCTTTGACCAGTAAGAAGTTTATGTGAACCCAGTGGTGACCTCTAGGAAGCCAGGCTGAAAGATAAAAAGGAAAACAATCTGAGCAGGGACATCAGAGGCCGCATATTGCAGGGTTAATAGACTTCACAGAATTAATCCAGCCGAGCCACTAAACAACAAGCAACACTAGAACCAGGGGTAGGATAGGAGGATAGAGGGTAAGTAACCAGCATTGGTTCTGTGATCTAAAATGTCCAGTTTTCAAAAAAAGTATACAGAGAAACTGGAAAGTGTGACCATCTGCTGGGGATAAAAGCAGAAAGTAGAAATTGTCTTTGAGGGGGCCCAGATGTTGGATTTAGACCAAGACTTCAAATTATAAATACAGGTCAAAATTAATGTAATTACAAGTAAATATAAAAGAGATATGATGGCAGTGACTCATCAAGTAGAGATATCAATAAAGAGATTCTAAAAATAATCCACATAGAAACAGAGACTTCAGAAACTTAAGTTGGTAAGCATGCTTTAAGATATAAATACTAAATATATGAGTATATACATTTTTTATTAAAAATTTTTTTCTTTAAAAAATTTTCATAGAAACAGGACCTCACTATGTTTTCCAGGCCGGTCTCAAACCCCTGGGCTGAAGCAGTCCTCCTGTTTCGGCCTCCCAAAGTGCTGGGATTACAGGCATGAGCTACCATGGCCAGTCTTAAATACATATTTTCAAAGGTAAACCATCTGATTATATATGTAGAAACTGTAAAATTGGAGTTTATCTTATATATCAACACTTTTTCATTTAGTTCTGCTTATTTTATGTAACACATCAAGTTGCTTCAGAGTTTGTAAAAATGTCAGGTTGTTCTAAGTAGGCTCTACACTCGATCATATATCCTGCCAACACAACACATTCTTTTTCTTTGAGCTAGTCAGTCTTTTAGTGCACAGAGAATAGGCATTCCTTGGTCATGTCTACCTTAGAACCTCTGAAAGATTTGTGAGGTATAATGAATGGGTAAGCACACACAACATAAAAGAACAGGACATCAGTAGAAAATATCTGTAGTGTTACCTGAGTGATAACCAATTTGTGGTGTAGCCCTCTTGTTGCCTCCCTGGTGTCTGATACAAGCTAGCAATATGCAGTTCAGCAGAACAGAATTTCTGGAAAGGGTAGCTGTGTTGTAAATTCATATCAGAGTTTTGGTTTTAAGAGAAGCATGACAGTGCCTATTTAACAGGCATTATAATCGACAATCCATCGCCATTTCAGAGGTAGATGTATATGTAACTTCTTGATAAAAATTTTCCCATGATCCAGATTGCCTGTGTACTTGGGTGATTAAAAAGCATTTAATTGATTGAAAAGCATCAGCTAACAGATATAAGGTATACATGCTTTAATGTAGATAAGGGAAACAACTTATTCATGCCTAGAGTAGGAGACACAAGTAGCACTTCCATTGGGATGGGGCCGCACAGAGGGCACACATCCATGACTAACTCATTAATTAGGCTGAAGACTTTTTGGGTCCTTTAAAAAAAGCTCACCTTTGTCATTCTAATAAAGGGCAGGTGTATAGGTTATGCGCGCTTGTGGAGACCAGCCAAGTGGATGCCTGTTCACCAAGTAGAAATAACTGATAACAACCTCATCATATTCCTGAATGTTTACTACAAAGTTGGATGAATCAAAGATTAATTTCCCAGGATGCACATTTTTAATCCTTTCTTGCAGGGAGTGACTTTTCTTTCACATGATCTTAATATGTATTATATATGAGGGGGTTGTATAGAAGAAGAGCATGAGTTAATTAGTACAAGGGCCAAAGAACAGAGAGATTAGGGGGTAAAAGCCTAAGGGGTCACACTTGGCTCTTTCATGGCAGTCGGCAAGTAGGGCCTTCAGGGCTGCTCTGCCACCCAGCCGATCGATCAGTCTTCAAGGATTAATCAGCTAGTCCGGGATCTCTAGTCTTTTATATCTTACCCTGTCCTTCTCTTTGCCATTGAGATATTGAAGACCCTAAGAGTAGAAGTAGCTCTGCTGGAGAGCCTTGTTACCCTCTAGTATGTTGATGATATATTTTGCTTCCTCCTCTATGGTAAAGGCAGAGATGATAATGCAGGCTTTTGATTGCAATCAAAGAGGAGATTCTGCTTAGCATGTTGGTCAATTAGCTCTTTGTGAAAAAGCTCCTGACTTTTTATTTCATGCAGATATTTTAAAATGTGTGAACTTTAAATGAATCTTAGCAACTAAAGCTGAAGCAAATGTACCATTTTAATTGGATTTGGAAAGAATGTACAAAATAAATTGTTTATAAAATGAGAAATTTTTAAATGGCAGGGTTTACCTTAGGCCTCCAGGAGGATATTCTGAGGCAGGGTCTCTAAAGACATTCATACAGGAGTAGACTGAAAGTCACTTCCCCCATCTGGTGCTGTATTTTATTTTTTTTAAGAGAGAGAGAAAGAATAAAAAGTGTTTCTGGCATGAGATGGAAGATTCAGAATTGTCACCTGTACCTTTTCATGGTCAGTAGAATTTCATAGTCATTTGTCTTTACCGAATAACATTAGTCTCAGATGTTTGGATGTTATTCTAGATGCAAAGGTCTTTGAAGGCAAGGCACACTGAAAAGGAACTGAATCTATATCATATAAGCTGCTTGGGGCAGCACAATGTCCTAGAAGCTGTTGGATCCCCCTGAAACCTGGTTCATTTGAAGCTCAAGCTAACTGGGTTCTGGCTGTTTGCTGTTGAGAGGTAAAACTGGGGGGGTTGAAATAAACAGGTTTTGTTTTGTTTTAAATATCAGATAGGTTGGAAATAAAACCTAGATCACATTTTTCAATCTGGGATCACCACACTATATTGTTAGTGTTCCAAAATTTCACAAGTTTGAGAAACCTTGCCCTAAAAGAGTTTGCCCTAAAGGAGTTTGCCAGTTATCTCTTTTCAGTATTTCTTTGTGTTTTGTTAATAAAATTTTAAAAGGTATAGGGTCTGTCTTGTACGTGGTATGTCTTAATTCATCTTAAAATGTGGTTTCTTACTAAAGGACAATCTTACAGGATTATAAATACTCTTTGGAAAGAATGAGATGATCTGAGGGTTTATAGAATTTTGGTGTTTTGTCTCGTGTCGATGATTTAGCAACTTGAAGATAAAAATTGTTCATAGCCAGCTTTAAAAGATACCTAAGATCATGGAATGATCTAATTGGCCACTTTCTTCCTCTTTAACCTTTTCTCTACACATTTGTATTCTAGCTTTGTCAAATATTCATACTTTTCCTAAGGATTTGCCTTAGAAGGAGACACAAGAGGAGTATATTTATAAGATAGAATAGTAGTCAGAAGGTAAAATGCATAAATTAGATGCATATGTGTCAGCATGGATATACATAAAAACTAGCTTTGAGGAAAAGCTAGTTATAGTGTAAGACATTCGGTACTGTACCATTTATGTAAATTTTAAAAATCAGTGCTCTGTAGTGCATGGATAATACAAGTATAAGTATGTGATCTACAAGGAGACATTCCAAAGTCATGATATTGGTTGTGTTTACAGAGCCAGAATAACACTAGAGAGGAGAACAGCAGCTTTATTCATAATACTTAAAAAAATTTTATATGCAGGGCCAGGCACGGTGGCTCATGCCTGTAATCCCAGCACTTTGGGAGGCCGAGGCGGGTGGATCACGAGGTCAAGAGATTGAGACCATCCTGGTCAACATGGTGAAACCCCGTCTCTACTAAAGCTACAAAAAATTAGCTGGGCATGGTGGCGCGTGCCTGTAATCCCAGCTACTCAGGAGGCTGAGGCAGGAGAATTGCCTGAACCCAGGAGGCGGAGGTTGCGGTGAGCCGAGATCGCGCCATTGCACTCCAGCCTGGGTAACAAGAGCGAAACTCTGTCTCAAAATTTATACGCATACATATGCACAATGCAAATATGATTAATATTAAAATGAATTCTAGTTGGTGGACCAAATGGGTATGTGTCATGTTTTCTGTGCTTTGTTTTTAATATTTTTGAAAATGCATGCTTACTGTAAAAGAAAGCCAACTGTTATTTAGAAGACAATATTCTTCTTCTTCATTCTCCCACCTGAATATTATTACTCTTAAACTTATACATCTCTTGGGACTTTGGGAAGAGAAATGGATTAAAAACTTTAAAACAAAAAAAACCTAAAAACTTTTTGTACAGTCAATATGTAAAACATAGGTTTTTAGAAGCTGCATTTTCTACTTTTTCTCGTTGTCTGTACATAGATACCCGCCTTAGCTCTCAAAGGACATTCTGGTTGTTAACTCGTACAGAAAATGTCATCGCGACTATCCTTGCATACACATCTTTAAAAAAATTTTAATTCATTATGTATCTTTCAAATTTTTAAATTGTGGTAAAATTCATTTAACATAAAAGTTACTATTTTAACAATGCTTAAGTATACAGTTCAGTATTTATCTTTTTGTGACTGGCTTATTTCACTTAATAGTTTTAAAGTTCATACTGTAGCATGTGACAGAATTTTCTTCTTTTTTAAGACTGCGTAACATCCTGTTGTATGTATATACTATGCTTTGTTTATACCTTCATCTGTCATTGGACACTTGAGTTGCTTCCATGTACATATCTTTTTAAAATTTCAGTTTTGTCATGAAGTACAGCATTTAAAAACATAAATCTTTTAAGTTTGATATAATTTCAAACATATACAGAAAAGTACCAAAAGCTAATGCAGGATCTCCAGTATATCCTTCATACAGATGTAGTTGTTTATGTTTTATCCCACTTATTTTATTCTCTGTGTGTGTGTGTGTGTGTGTGTGTGTGTGTGTGTGTGTATGTATGTGTGTGTGCGTGTACGTGTTTGAAATCATATCAAAATTAAAAATTAAAAGATTTACATTTTTAAATGTTTACTTCCTAAAGAAAAAGGACATTCTCTTAATTTAACCACAGCACAATTATCAAAATTAGGAAATCTAATATTGACACACTTCTGTTATCTGATCCACAGTGTATATTCAAATTTCATCACTTGTCCCTGTAATATCCTTTTTACAGATTACTGTTCCTTGCTGCCCCTGCCCCCCTACGCTCGACATCAAGGTCTAATTCATTTCAGGCATTTAGTTATGTCTCTTTAGGCTTGTTTAGTATGTAATAGTTCCTTTAGCCTGTTTTTATTTTTCTTGATCTTTGATATTAGTAAGGAGTACAGGCCAGCTATTTTGTAGAATGTCCCTCAATTTGTGCTTGATGTTTCCTTATGATTAGGTTGAAATACGCATTTTAGGGAGGGATATCACAAAAGTAATGTGTGTCTATGGTGCATAATATCAGGAAGCATGTGATTAAGGTGGTGTCCTCATGTCTCTCCGCTATAAAATTTCTATATTCCCTTATTAATTAATAAGAAATTATGGAAGACACTTTGAGACTCCGTAAATGTCTTTTTATTCATGAAAATTTCACTCACTAGTTTTAGCATCCATTGATGACTTTTGTTAACTGTGTGATTTCTTCTGTGTTTATTAGTTTGCTTTCCACTGTAAGAAAGAGCTTTTCCTTCTCGCCCATTCTTAAATTATATCAGTATAAGTTCATGGATTCTTATGTTATTCAGTATGTTATCCATTACTAATTTTTATTGTTATTATTACTGATCCTTAAATTATTCCAGATTTGGCTACTGGGCATCCCTTCATACTGATTTTTGTTTTCTTTTGTGATGTCACCACTGTTTTTATATATTTCTTGAGACAGAGTCTCTCTCTGGGCCACTGTCATCCAGCTCGGGATACAGTGTTGCAGACTCACCTCACTGCAACCCCTGCCTCCCGGGTTCAAGTGATTCTTGTGCCTCAATCTCCCAAGTAGCTGGGACTATAGGTATATGCCACCATATACAGCTAATTTTTTTTTTTTAAGTAGTGACAGGGTTTTGCCTTCTTGGCCAGGCTAGTCTCGAACTCCTGGCCTCAGGTGATCTGCCCACCTTGGCCTGCCAAAGTGCTAGGATTACAGGTGAGAACCCTGTGCCTGGCCTAATATATCTTGTGTATTTTTTTTTCCCTTAAAATGATTTTATCATAGAATTTGTTGCATTAAACAGATTATATGTTTCAAATAATGCATGGACTAAGTAAATCACACTTTTTACCAGTTTGAGGGGGAAAAAAGTAAGCATGTAACTCCTCCTTTAGCTGCCCCCCGCCCCGCTTTTTTTTTTTTTTTTTTTTTTGAGATTCGCTAATCAGTCAGAGTGGAGTGCAGCGGCACCATCTGGGCTCACTGCAACCTCCACCTCCTGGGTTCAAGCAATTCTTTTGCCTCAGCCTCCAGAGTAGTAGCTGGGATTACAGGCGCCCACCACCACACCCAGCTAACCTTTGTATTTTTAGTAGAGATGGAGTTTTGCCATGTTAGCCAGGCTGGTCTTGAACTCCTGAGCTCATGTGATCCACCTGCCTCAGTCTCCCAAAGTGCTGAAATTGCAAACATGAGCCACCGCACCTGGCCAAGCTGCTTTTTAACAATTCTCTTATTAAGGAAAATTTCTCATCATTAACTCTCAGCTACAAAGAAACATCTGCAAAAAAGGAAGGTAAAAAAAAAAGAGTTTATCTTTTCAGTGCCTTTCAGAACTAGTAGTTCACAACTATCTGAATGGTTGAAGTAGATTTATAGGGTGTATTTGCAAGAATAGATGGTTAACAAAATAGATCATTTATATTAAGTAATAAAAACCTACTTGGGAAAGTCATAGATTATCATTCATGGTGTGAGACGTTTCCCTTTTCAGAGCAGACATTTCTGTATGTTTCTCACTTGAGCTCCTGCGGCAGATACCCAGGACAGGTTGGTGTCTTCTTTTCTGTACCTCACTTTGCTCAGATAAAAAATAATGTATTAGGTCGTTGGTATTATAATCTTTTTGACTACAACCTACAATAAGAAATATATTTTCCATTGTGATCTAATATACACATATGCCTGCATAATAAATATATATTACAAAGTCAAAAGTTTTATAAGAGAGAATTTAACCTTATAACCATGAGTAGTGCATGGTATTTTTTCTGTTGTTTCTCTCTTCATGTTTTATTTTTTCTTTTCCTTCTCCCTCCCTCCCTCCCTCCCTCCCCTCCCTTTCTCCTTACTGTCACCCAGCCCTCTATTCTGTTTCTTTAAAATGCTGGTAATACCATTGACCTTGTCTTCAGATTTTAAAAAAATGTAGTAGATTTTTCCTCCTCTCTCTCCTTCCCCTCTCCTCGCGTCCCCTCTCCTTTTCTTTTCTCTTTTTCTTCTTTTCTTCTCCCTACCCCCTCCCATTTTCTCCCCTCCCTCTCCCCTTCCCCTCTTTCCCCTCTCCCCCCTCACCTCCCCCTCCTCCTTTCCCTCTCCCCCTTTCCCGGTCCCTCTCTTCCCCTTTCAACAGGGTCTTGCTCTGTCATCTACCTGAAGTGCAGTGCCATGATCTTGGCTCACCACAGCCTTGATCTCCTGGCTTCAAGGACTCTTCCTGCCTCAATCTTCTGAGTAGCTAAAGGCTAAAGGTGCAGCACACCCAGCTAATTTATTTTATTTTTATTTTTTATTTTTTATTTTTTTATTTTTTTGAGACAAAGTCTCACTGTGTTGCTCAGGCTGGTTTTGAACTCCTGGCCTCAGCTAATCCTCTAGGATGTGAGCCCTTGTGCCCAGCCTATGTAGATTATTTCTAAAAACCTTTCAGCTACAAAATTACATGAGTATATTCTGTGAACCTATTTTTAAATAACACAATTTAAAAAATAAAGATTTTGGGACAAGGTCTGTCAGGGTGAACAGTCTAAACAGCTTCTGTTGTGTACATAACTGTGGCTATCTCAGCAAAAACTAATCCAATAAAAAGCCGTTCCAAAGTCTTTAACCTGTCCCTCTGAATATAGTCACTACTAGTACAAGCTAATTTTGGTGGTTTTTTTTTTTTTCTCCTTTAAACTGGCCCTTTCACCCTTTTCTTTAAACTCGTAGCAGTACACTAATTACTGTCTTTGGTGCATT